TTACCAAAGACATTTATTTCTCATAAGAACTAAGATAGGATTCTCTTAAAACATGATAAACTAAGAATAATAATCAGTTTAAAAAATGGATTAGGAAAAAGCATTGCAATCAAAGATTATGTATATAAATGCATGCTCTTCATCTTTTTGCTCTGGTGCTCTTTCTTATGTGTCTTTGAAAAGTTTCAAGCATCAGAAGCTAGGTCTACTAACAAAGTCCCTGAGGTGCTGAAAGGTCAGAGGTTAATATATATTCCACCGAATCATCGGTGGCTTCTTTTCTTCAAAAACATGATAAACTTTCCTCCTCAAATACTTGGATGGTTTAATGCTACCAAAGTGGTTGTGTTCTTGCAAACCTTTTCTGACTATTTTATCAGATACACTTTGCTTGTATCTGATTAAAGGTCGGAGGTCATTACTGGAGTACAATGCACTATTGCTATGTTCAGGAAACCATTCTGAAGTTTTTAGAGCTTTGAGACATGATGCTATCAGAAGATGGATATGTTGTATAATACACATTGTCAGCAGTAATACTCAGGCAGTGCCATTTAGATGAGGTTTAACTCATTCTACGGAGCCCCAAGAGTGCCAAAAATACCAAACTGAAACATAACAACCTGTGTTTGGATAAACTCTCTTTTTATTTGTCTCACATGCAATCATGATAAAATGTACAGCATTTACATGTTTACATAATAATGTAACTGGATCTCACTTAGCCATAACTTTGTCTCGCTGTGTAAATTTTAGTATTCTTTTAATTGATAATCGAATTTCTTGTGTATGTAAAACATAAACAATTGGGTTCAACATGGGTGGGAATACTGAGGTCAAAGACAGGTTAATGATCCTGGCATTTGGATGTATCTCTGCACCTATGGTAAAAGTGATTAATATTGGGATGAAATAGATTGCCACTAATGAAAGATGACCTGTGCAGGTTTTTAGTGCCTTTACTCTTTCTTTAACTACAGCCACTCTAAATAAAGCAATGGCAATGCAAATGTAGCTGGATAAGATGAAAATCATGGGAAGCCAAAGAATAAAAACCGGCAAAATAAAACTAATGATTATACTGGGAAAATTGTCATTGCATGCAAGCTCAAACATCAGGCCATGGTCGCAGAAATAGCTGTTAATAACCACAGACCTGCAGAAGGAAAGTCTAGAAAGAAGACCAACTGCAGTGAGAACAGCTATTATTGCAAAGAACCAGAAAGATGCAATCAGGAAAAACATAATCTTATGAGTAACCTTTACATGATAGTGCAGAGGAAACATGATGGCCATCAGGCGATCGTAGCAGAGAGCAACCAGATTAAGAGCC